TTCAAATCATGGAAGCATTTTGAGTAACAGAAATACAGTCATGAGGTCCCTTAACTGAGAAGCATAACAAAGTTGAATACTATGAGGAGAAATGAATATTTTATTATTGGTTAACCAATTTATAGATGAATATTGGGTATTTTAGATTGGAGAACAATGTGGACTGTATGTGGGACCGTCTGATTTAACAGACTTTCCAGAGCAAGATCTGAAAATGCTTCAACCAGTTTAGCTGAGGTTGGACTGACGTTGAGACAGGAGCGTAAGTTTTGTTTAACCACATTAAGAGGGAGGCCGTGATAGGTCACGGGTCTTTGTTGTTTGCCATATTGTTTGGTAATATCCCTAGACGTGATTTTCCGTTTATATTCATACAAAAGGAAAGGTTTATTACAGTCAGTGGTGATCTTATGATCAGCTGTTCTCTGGAGATGTATGAGGTCGCCTATGATATATTCCCCGTGGAGCTGGGTGAGTAGAATATAGAGGCTTCTTGTGGCTCTTTTAGAGTCCCAGTAGAGTTAATGGGAAAAAAACAAATCAAGGTTTGATATCCTATTGTCCAAACTCTGGCATCTCTTCTGGCCTTTCTGAACAGAGCTGGGCTATCAAAACTAAATGGAATCAGGGAGGGTATAGCTCAGTGGTAGAGTGTGTGCTTAGCATGCACGAGGTCCTGGGTTCAATCCTCAGTACCTCCATTAAAAAAAACAACAGCTTAATTACCTCCCCCTCGAAACAAAAACAAAATGGAGAAGAGAACGGGACCTCTGTTGTGACAAGAACCCTTGGGCTTCATTCTGGTCTCTGCAAAGGGAGATTACCTTTCCTCTAGCTACTTGGTCTCAAGGGAGGTCAGTGAGCAGACACTGTTAGTGAGGAATTATACTGATTGCTATATCAATATGTAGGTTGGAAAAACTTCAGTAATTAGTCCAAACAGCTTTGCCTTCTTATTATAAATTGATTTAGTTCTACCTTAGGTGAAAGAGCATCATACATACGTGTGAGGATAGGTGGTCATTATCTTTTACGTTGTTTCCATAATTCGTTACTTGTAGTATTTTAAAATAAGCTCCATCATAGATGCAATGACTGAGCATAGCAGTTGA